ATTTTTTTTCAATTTTCAGCTATGGAAAAACGGCGAAAATGTGCATACGAGTGTCCCGTATGGTGAGTCTATGCGTGAGCAAGTTAGGGATTCCCAGGACGTTTCCGAACGAAGATACCATTTTTTTCGTCTTTTTAGATCTTTAGTGCTTTATGAAATTTGGCTCCAAACTTCACGCAAATCATACCTGGCGCGAAGGCTCGAGCTTCATTTTGTAGAGTTTGTTTTGATCTATCGGTTGATACCCCATTTACTTACTTTCGTGCGCACCCTGCAGCGATATTGCATGTTAAAACACGATGCGACACTATTTTCCGGACAACCTAATATTTCATTCTACATAGATCGCCACCGCAATTTCGGTTTTTCGGTGATCTGTTTACTAGGCGAATACTAGATACCCTCACGGGGTAGACTGCATACCTAATCAAGCACTGCTTTTCGGGAAAATAGCGAATAATTTCCATGGGAACGATTTTAAAGATTTTTCTACCACTGGAGAAACACGTGTTGTGCTACAAACCGCGAATCTCTGTTTCACATCGATACAGTGCGCAGAGATATGCCACACAATTCGAAACACGCAGATATAGTCGATGTTTTCTGAGATTGTAAACATCAAATCTCTCATTCAGTCGTGCTATCGCTCGAGGAATTTTGAGACGTCTCTTAGCTGGATTGATAGCTCTTTTTTCAGTGCCTTTTTTCCGCCTAAATACCTTATAAACTCCGTCAATCCCTTTTCACGTGATTATGTCATGTATGCAATCCACTAAATGGAACTAATGTACTCATAGAAAAGTCTTTAACAAACTTGGCGAAATTGCTTTTGCTTGCATCAAATACGTACAAGACAGTGGCGTACCCAGGATTTCCGCTCGGGGGGGGGGGGGCGACAAAAATTTTTTTCGAATGAAGGTGCCTGGCGTCAGCCACGCACTCGGAAAAAACTTTAGAAGTGCTTCTCAAAAGCTTGCGGGTCCCCTAAAATCCGGAAAAAGGGGGCTTGGCGTCAGCCATGCCCCCGAAAAATTTTTTTTTACAAGTCTAATTTGGATTTTTGAAAATTTTTAAAGATTATTTTGATTATTTACAAAAATAAACAATTCACTTGCACATTTTTATAACCCATAGAAGTAACTTTCAAAAATTTCGCGCCCATTCAGGGGGGGGCGCCCCCGCTCTCCCCCCCCCCTCGGTACGCCACTGGTACAAAATGCGTGATTTTCCGTGTCCATACGTAGGTAATGTACCACTTGAGAGACTGTGCGTAATTATGGCGGAATTTGCTGTCAAATTGCTCTTTTTTTCGTGATGTATTATACTCTACATTGCAGCATAGCCTTATGAATGTATCAATCATGTTTTTTTCCTAAAAAAACGCATCCGAAATTTCTCTGGAATGCTTTCGCTTTTGAGCAAGCTACTGATCTTTAGACTGTGATTACAAAGGTTATTTTATTTGTATAAAGTTCAAAAAGTTATGCCAATTAAGTAAAAACAATAGCCTGACTAGTTTCATAATTATGTCGCTCACTTAACTGCGCCCGTGTCTCGAGAAGATGGACTTTTTTTCAGTCCGTCTGGCATGTATTCTATATATATCCGAAGTGTAAACGGGCATAAGTTAGTTCCTAATGAGTAACGTTTCGAGCTCAAGCGAATGTCCTTGTTCTATAAACTTATGTAGGTATCAAAGCAGTGGGACTAATTTGTAGTGGTTGAAGTTGGTTGAAGATGCGCCGCTGTGCCTTACAAGGGAAGGATACTTGGTGACTGTGGCTTTTTGCAACGATATGTATATCAGTAGGTGCGCCTTAAAGGCACCGTCCACCCAGATTTTCGTTCCATGTTTTTGTCGTTTCAGGGCCTTCTCATGTCCCTGATTCCTAATATGAAGTCGAAAATGCGCAAAAACCCCGACAATTCCCGTTCCGGAAAACCCACAAGCCGGCTTTCCGGAACGGTGATTGGATGGGCGCGCACAAATGGGAGGGCATGGATGGGGGAGGGCGGGCATGGATGGGGGTCCTCGTGCATCTTCGCTGTTCCGTAGCGATTTTCTCGCTTCTGAAGCGGCATTTTGCGCCGTGACTTGGGCATTGGATTGATAGGAGGACCTACTATTATATGCTGCCAAAAGCTCGACACCTTCAACTAAGGCCTAAGACATACCTGACGCGATTCGGCCAAATCGCCGCTTTCAAGCGACTTGGCGATTCGTGCACGCTTCTCGAACGCATAGGCGGGTAGCCTGTGTAAGTTGTTGCAAATGGGTCAAGTCCTAACCAGAAGCGCATTAACGACGAATACCAGAATCGCGCGAGGTATGCCTTAGGCCTAAGGTGGACGGTGCCTTAAAAATGCTGATTCCAAACCTATATTCAATGTTTGCTGTACACTCTGAACGAAGTTAAGGAATTTCTTCCATATTGATTTTACGAGATCTAAGCAGTCAGAATCGTCAGTGTCCAAGGTTTTTAGACTCGGATATGTCGGAGATAGTTTTCCTGAACTTAACGTAGACCGTGTTTATTTGATTGTTTAGCCACGACCGAGATTGGTAAGCTTTTATTTAGGCTAACGTTTCGGCAATAATTCGCCTTCTTCAGAGCCTGAAATGGGCGAAAACAATTTACAGACTACCCGATCAAACATCTCCTCAATCCCATAGGCAAAATTCTAAGCTTTCTTTCGACCACGAGCAGGCTGCCACACGCAGTACTCACCTTTCGTTCGCCGGTAAAGTTCTGGTTTAGTACGAGCGAGTGCTTACTGACCGCTTGAGCAAGGAATTAAACATGTCTTCACATGGTCAAAAGATCTGATTAAGATACGGTGCGAGTTCTCGTGTGATAGAGAGACACTCTTCCTTGCGATTCATTTTAGGATTTCTAAAATGAATCCAAAAGGCTTCTAAGGTTTTGCGAGTGGATGTCTGAGCTTCGCGCGCTAGAATCTCTACTTTCACTTCAAAATCAACTCCTTGATGATTTTGTATTCTGTGGGCGCCCAATGGAGTGGATGTGCGCGATCTCTCTTTACCTTTGAGATGTTCCTTAATACGTATACTCAGAGGGCGTGCCGTTTCTCCGATGTATTCGTTGCCGCAATCCTTGCATGATATGAGATATACAACACCCGTACTCATGCAGTCTCCGTCCCTTGCTGTTGGGCATATCGGACAGTTCGGCGTAGGGCAACCGCGGTCGTACATGCGATTCCGAACAAGGATACGTTTCAAATTGTTCGGAGGTATATCTACTACCGATTTTCGGCAATAATTATTGCCGAAACGTTAGCCTAAATAAAAGCTTACCAATCTCGGTCGTGGCTAAACAATCAAATAAACACAGTATTCATCATGCCGAGATTTATAGAAAGTCGAACTTTCCGATTAACGTAGACCTTTCTTTCATTTGAACGCTCTTTCTCAGACAATTTACGGGAACTTTCCGAGGGTTGTAGGGGAACTTTCCGCAGGTCACCTTGGAAAGTTCCCGTAAAGCCCCGGGAAGTTCTGCAAATAAGCTCTCGGGAACTTCCCTAAAAACGGAAACTTTCCGAGGACTTCAGTTACAGAACTTCCCGAGGGGTTTAGATGGACTTTTGCGTAGCTATACAGAATTTTCAACAGTAAACACTGCTTCTTTCGAACCTACCCTTATTTCAGTACTAGGTTAAAAATATACAGAACACAGATATCCTTCATCATTTATAGCATAGTTAGAGCACCAGATATAGAGTATATCGGCAGTGAAGCAGTGAGTTCTTAGCATGTTTCCAAAACTAGATTACAACATTACCTAAATGAGGTGGATGGAGTATCGTACTGACACATGTATTATCATGTACTGACGGACGCAAGAATAGTGATGATGAAAAGAGTTATGATGTGATATGGCATCAAAAGAATGGTAATGATGGGATGGACGCGTAAGACCGCAAGATCAAATCTTCTTTATGTGCAGCGCTTGTCTCCTCCATTCCGATTTTGTCACGATGCCTTGTCTTTCCTACCGAAACCGACCTGCTAAATCGTTTTGTATTTCTGGAAAAAATACGTAAATTAGTGTTATAAAATAAACAACAAAGTTTATACCTTTGGTGGCAAGTTTCCCTTGATGGAAACGGTAATAGCGGATAGCGTAATAGGGCCACTATTTTTGCATCAACCTAATACATATGTACATTTATTTGCGTAAGGTTTTTGGCTGTAAGCTAAGCTTATAATGCAATAAATGCTATAAGCTGACTGCGCTAAGCAATGAGCGATTCCCCAAGTAATTAGTGAACTGAGACATCGATAGATTAGAGGCTGATAGGTATCAACACTAAAATGGTTACCTATCCTCTAAACGGCGATAGATAGAAATGAAGCGCCTTAAGCTTTGGAGCTTATCAAACTTAATACTTATCATTCTGATGATAAAACAAAACAGAACTGTTTTGCTAACTTGCAAAACAGCTCTGCGGAAGTTCCCTCAAAATTAAATCCTCGAAAAGTTCTGCATTTTGCAGAACTTTCGGAGGACTTCCTCGGGAAGTTCCTAACTGTGTTGCTTTTAACGTCAAAATTTTCGGGAAGTTCCCATTCTTCATTCACTTACGTGCTAAACGGAACCCTAGGGAAGTTTGGCAAATTAGCTTGCCCCTCGGGAAGTTCCCGTAATTTGTCTGAGTTTGTAGTGCATAAGTGATCTTTATAGCGATATTGCTGAATCCTGTTATTGAAACACTGCAATTGGTAAATGTTAATAACTTTTCCGGAAAAGCGCACAGCAGATAATGAAGGTGAATTGGATTCAGCACCTTCAAGTGCATTCAGTGATGTACGTTGCATTCTAAAAGGCCACGGTCACCAAGTATATCTTCCCCTTGTAGTCTCAGAGCGCAGAAATTTCGTTGTTGTTCTTCATGCTTCCTTTAGGTGCGACTAGATCAAAAGCTCTGCTTATCTCATAGTCTCAAGTCCTTTTGTCTCAGACAAACGCCGGGAAGTTCTGGAGGACATTAAGGAAGGCTCCGGCGGGTCACCTGGGGAACTCAATTGTAAGTTCCGAAGCTCTCGGGAACTTCTAGAAGACTGTAGTTTGCCGGAACTTCTTTATCCAATGTTCTCGGAAAGTTTTCAAAAGACTGTAGTTCACGGGAACTTCTATAATTGAAGTTCCCGGGAACTTCTTACTCAATTTCTCAGAAATTCAGCTAATGACCACTTTTAATGCGGTTGCCGTAAAGAACAGTCTATATACAGGGTGTCCCAAAAGTACACAGTGTTTGATCGTTGATATCTCTTTTCCCAAGTCTTTTGTTTACCTCTAAGCACCCTTTTGTAGAGCTGGCTTCAACTTAGATTTACAGTATGGAGCGAACCACGAATCGTTCTTCACTGCTGTAAGATTAAGTAGGAACTTTCAGTTTACAGCGTCATTACGGATTTACCGCGTAACAATAAAAAAGTTTCAAAAAAATCGAAAAGTGGTGCACTAGGGTTTTCAAGCTCGCTGATTTTATCATTCAACTTTTTACGAGTTTGCAAAGCTTTTAAAATGGTGTAATCACGGTTTCATGGAGTCTTGTAAAAACAGCTATTGCGGTCTACTTGGCATAACTTATGAAGGAAGCATTACGGTAAAGTACAAACAACATATTTGGTTTTAGCGGCTTTAGTTGGCCTAGCATGAAAGTTCTTTGGTTGTTCGGCTTGCTTCTTGAGGCGAAATAGGTTCCTTGATGGCTCACAACTCTTCTTGAATTTTCTACCGCAATCCCACGATAATGAAGTGCGACCGACGATTCGCTCCAATACTGTAAATCTAAGTTGAAGCCAGCTCTATAAAATGGTGCTTAAAGGTAAGCGAAAGACTTCTTGGAAAAAGAGATATCAACGATCAAACAGTGTATACATACTTTTGGGGCACCCTGTATATTAAGGATAAGTTTGCTTTGCACAAAACTTCATTGAACAACTGAGTACATATGCACGTGATGAGTATCTGTTTATAAAACGAACAAAATTTTTTTTTCCCAGCTGACTGCCTAAGTTTTCATTCCAAGAGTCCGTGCTCATTGCCTCCTTGTCGGTGCGTCCAAGTCCAACTAAGGCACCCTATATACATTCTAAAAGAATGTATATATATATGAATAGAATGGGGAAAGCGGATTCTAACATACCTTCGGTGGAACAAGATGACCGTTGTGCAGGCAATAGTAGCGCCATCACATTCTTGCTAAATATAAAACTGACGATTTACGATGGCGTAATGTAGAAGTGGTAGACTTACAGCGCTTCAGCAATGCATGATTTGCGTCTACGCTCCACCTCGGCTTTTTTTTCCAGCAGTGAATTGAATTCTTTTTCACTCGTTGCTGGTTTTCAGCTAACGACAGCCAAAAACTAAAAAAAGTTTCAGCGCCTAAAATGCTTACCGTAGATATAGACAGCACCTGTTCTATGAATTCTTTAGCAAGTGCAGCCTCGATCCGTAGAGTTCGGTGTAATTTAAATCGAAGTATCCAAAATAAACTCCAAATTTTTGTAGCTCAACCACTTTCAGCAATGAATTACCCTCACCTGTAAGCGCATTAACAATGGAGTCGGGAGATTGTTTAGATCCGTCCTTCGGGCCACTTTTGAAACGCGATATGCGTACTTCCAGATATCGGAAGGGTCGGATGCGCAGATCTAAATGTAAATTACGTGGTGGACATTTTGTTTCCAGAGTTAAATATGCACCTCTTCAAACAGATTTCGCAAATTTCGATGACTTCACTAGTAGCGTTGCCTTTCACTTTTTCTGGAGGGGCGTACTTCCTCAGAAATTCATTCGAATTGACTTCCTACAAATAACATTCGAAAAATTTTTTGCAACAGTTGGTTTCTAAATACCTTGAATGACGGTTGAAGGCGAATGTGGTGGTCCTGTCTCAAATTTTCGTACTTGAATTCGCTTCATGTTTCGGGGAGAGGGTTTAACACTGAGGATATGTTTCATTCTGTCAATCAACAATTCGACAATTCCGGTTGATAATTCAAATTTTTTTTGATAAAACTGAGTAACTTTTCGATTATTGTTACCGGTACTCAAATCTTTTAACATGGGAATTATTTACCATTTCTAATGCCAAGATTGGGGACGCTTGTTAGGTTGAGAGTGAAGACGAGTACACAGAAATAAATAAGAGTACGGACGAGTAAAGAAATACATTAGCATTAAAAAGAAGGAGAACAGGAAGAAGAAGATGTTGAAACAGCCAAAAAAGCGTCCCATAACTTCTAAGAAAGCATAGAAGAGAAGAGATGTGAAGATACGACATATGAGAACACAAAATAATTGAGTTCTTACCTTCTTTCTTTGAGTTCTACTCTGCGAACAGCTTCTTCCAATATAAAACGCCTTTGCGCGTAAGCGGTTGTGCCTGCTTTTCTCGACTTGCTGTTGAAAAAAGAAACTTCATTAAAAACAACTGATAAAAGAGACATGAACTCACCTAAACGAAATCCCCAAGTGCGGCGTTGTGTATTTCGACATCCGCTTCCTCAAGCGCGCGCCCTCGAAACGTGGTCCCGCGCCAATCGGCCGGCAAGCACGACATTGTTCGCGGGAACTTTTCATTTAGTGTAGTTTACGGGAACTTTTCATTTAGTGTAGTTTACGGGAACTTTTCCACCTTTGCCAAAGTTCCCAAGCGCGTCCTCCGGAACTTTGCATCCGCGGCTCCCTTGACGTCATAAACCACGAGAACTTTTTGATTTTTATACCTCAGTGACTAACAAGGTCTTCCGGAACTTCAGCAATTTTGCGCAATTATTTATAGTGTTTTTTGCCGTCAAGCTGTACAAGAGCAGCTCCCATTGAGATCCTGTCACATATTACTTGCGGCATCGAGTGATGTATCTGCCGCCACCCCATCCCACTTTCGCCAAATGCCACCGACACCGTAAAGTTTTTCTGGATTACAAAATTAGGGAGCGACGTGCGCGGCGACACGGCGGACCTGCGCTATATGACTCCTGATCCGTAGCCGCATTACCCAAGCGCGATGTCATGTTTTGACATGGAAAACAAAAATTACGCAACAGGTCCCCGTCCGCCCATCAACAAGCTATAAATGTATATTAATTCTGGTCGGGACAAAGCATTTTGCACTCTTCACACTACCTATTTCGAAAGATGCAGCACTTTTTTATTAGGACAGTTTCGTCTGGGCTTCTCATAGAAAATTTTACACAACCTGGAGCCTTTACGCTTGTTTGCGCGGCAGCAAATTTCAATAAAAACAGAAATCCTTAAGTCCCCAACTTGCCCGGACGCTGCTTTCGTGTGTGAATGCACACATACTCCATACCCATTCTGATTGTCTTATGGGTTTTGCATGCAAGTATTGGAGAATACTCTCACATGCTTTGATGAGTATAGTGAAAGAAAACTTCCACGAACTCAGATAATCGCCGGGAGCAGGCGACTATGCGATTTATGGGCAGGCGGGCACAGGAAAATAATTCGCTGATTTCTTGCGGTCCGCTTGCTCATATTTGGAAGAATGTTGGCAAAAATTTGGACGAATGCTAGAAGAACAATTGCGCCTTTTGCGCATTAGTTTAGTTGCGATGAACTGGCCGCAATCTCGCGGATTTACCGCGAGAATATGCAAAATTGTTCGGGGCCGCACGGTCCTTTGTATAGCCGCAAGCCCGTACAGTCTGCCCAGTCTCAACCATGCCAAAATTGGCACGGAGGGAGTCCGCGTCGTTAGGCTTCCCCGGTCACGCCTAGTTCGCTGCTCTGTTCTCTCTTCAACCCTTTTGCCATCTCTGAGAGCGCGCATGTGCGGCACAGACCGCTAGCGCTGCGAGCGCGCAAATATATGCCGACGGTTCGGCCTGATCCCAATTGAAGCAGACTGTAGGTACCTTTCGCTGGGAGGAAGTACCTCAAACTCGTGTAATCAACTACGTCAAAAGAGTCTGAGCGCTTGCTGAAATATGGCCAGCGCTCACTGAAAGAGATTATTTGCCGAGCACTTTTAGAAAATTTTGTGTTGCTGCTTGCTGGCAGAACATGGGAGTACCGCTTCGTGAAGGTCTGGCCACGCCCCAAAATTTTGCTGACCGCTTGCAGAAAAGCGCGAGTTTGCGGGCCGCCTGCCCCCGACGATTATCTAGCAAGATGCTGGAAAAGCACTTACTTTGAAGGCCATGGAGACGTACCCGTCTTTATAGCCAGCAACATCCGAGATAGCACGCATGGTATGGAAGGTGTGTGCATTCGCACATATTGAGATTACAAACGACGGGCATTTGAGTTGGGTCTGAGGGATGAAATTTACTAAGATAGCGGTGTAGTCTTCAGTATAGCACCTTCTGAGGTGTATGAAGCAAATAAATTGAAATAAATTGAATAATCAAATAATTATAATAAATGACAACACTAAGGATCCCTTCAGGTCTAATAGAAAAAGGTCAGTTAGGATTTTCGAAGGCGATGCAAATTTGGAGCGAGGCTTTTGCGAAAACGTGCCAATTAGTCAATCATTTCTGTTGCATGATTATTTCGTGCATTAGAGTGACTTTTGATTAATTTCCCATATCTTAGAATAGGTGTATTATAAATCACATGAATGATCAGTGTAGGGATCATACGCTGCGCTTGCCGGGCTCCGACACGTAAATGACAAATCTTGAGCCGGAGGTCGTTCTGGTGAAGGAAAGCAAGCGGGTACAGTAATCAGAACAAACCCATGAACATCTCCAGACTCGCAAACATGCTTTTATGTTACCGACGTGCTCAAACACGATATTGGGCGAAGCACACTTTTCAGAACCAAGGTTTTTGGCGAAAAATAGTGAACAACTGACTCGCTTACACGCACAGGAAATGACATGACACTAATTTTCGCCCGTAAAGGGGGAAGACTAACAGGGGAACGATACTTGGTGTCCGTGGCCCTTTAAAATGAAACGTATATCTTCAAAATCGTTTTGGAACGCTCATTCCGAATCTGACTTCCCTCTCTGCTAATCGTTTCTCTAGAAGAAGTTATGAAGG